AACTCATAATTGGAAAAAGCTACTTTGATCAAGGTCAAAGTCTGACTGTTGCCTGCTGAAGGGTGTGTCACTGTTGTGTCTCATACCCACAGTCACCATAAAGCAGGCCGCATCATAGGCGTGCACACCTGCACCTGGCTAAGTTTCTGGACATGGCTCCCGCTTGCAATGCAGGGACCATTAGACGCAGAAATGCAAAGCAGTAAGGTCAAGAAGTACATGGGAAAGAAAGCTCAATCGCCCTGCATTGTCATCGATCTAAGCAAAAAATTGTTACAGCCCCTGGCAATGCTCGAGATGTCCTTCCTCACATTTCTTCATGTAAAACATTTGAACATATATTTAAGACACTTGTGGTAATCAAGCTGGCGTGTGCGTGCGTGCGTGCGTGCGTGCGTGCGTGCGTGTGTGTGTGTGTGTGTGTGTGTGTGTGTGTGTGTGTGTGTGTGTGTGGTGACTTGTGGACCAGGGGCTTCTCTCCTGGCCTCAAACTCATACTGTTCCTGTCCCCACCTCCTGGATATCAGGAATGCACCAATGTGCCACCACACCTGGCTAGGGCTGCTTCCCAGTGGGATTGTTAAAATGCTGACACAACCTAACAAGAGGCATCAGCGTATCTGCTCGTGTCCTGTCCCAAAGTGTCACCAAGAAGCGTCCAGTTAGCAAAGGAGAATCCCTTCACTTCATCCTCTGCCGTGGTCCCCTTACCAGGTGTGCCGAGTCACCTCTCGTGAGGCCCCGTGGGCCTCAACAGGCCCCGGGTGGAACTGGTAAACGCACACATGTCGGTGCATGAAGAAGAGGAGTGAGGTCCAGCTCCTGCTCTTCTGCAGCTTTCAGCACCGTCTCCATGGTGCTGGTTGTCGGTGCAGTGCGTAGCTGTGAGAAGGTGGGGGCGCTGAAGCCGTCTGAGGAGTAACCATCCGCACGGCATGCTCTCCTAGCTATTGGAAAGCCCTTACCCTGAAGCCCACCGGTGCTGAAACTTAGAGCCCTGTGACTTCAGCACCATCTGCTTGTGCTCAAGACTTTAAAGCTCTTATCTCCACATAAAATTTCAGAGGCCTGTGCTTTTTTCTTCACCAAACTATCCATTTTTAAGCCACAAATATTTTTCCATCTCTTTCAGATTTTATCTAAAAGTATATTTTAACAGTATTTTTAAAAGTTCTTAAACAATAACAATTTATCTTGATGGATGGCATGCTGTGTTTTTTCATTTTATTTTAATTAGCCATTGTGGAACCAAATTCCCTTTTGTTTTAGTCTTTGGAATATTGTTTAATTATTGTTATCATGCCAGATATCTTAAAGGTTATTTTACCAATACAGTTTCATTTAACATAACCCATATGGAATCAATAGTCTAGTTTCCTAAAGTGAATGCTTGGAAAATCTTACATTCGTATGTTAAGAGCACACATCCTTTCCTCATTAGCGGGAAAGTACGGGCTTTTGGCACAGGTTCTGTGTGGAAGCATCGTGCAGCTTTTATATGGATTTTGTTTTTAGCCTTTGATGACACTGTTTAGAATAGGAAGTATCTAATAAGGAAGGCATTTTGTCTCAAGTGCTGCCAGTGTGTTTAATATGTGCCTGGAGGTCTGAAACATTATCTTCTTCACTACAGTAATATGCATTTAATTCTCTGAAAGCAGAAGGTCGAACTTTTAAAAGGGACTCAAAGTACATTTTCAAACAGAATAACTCAGAACATATGGAACAGGGGACCCGAGTTATGTACAGTTGGTTTTTATGGTTTAATCGTGATCATGTTAATGCACCCCGGTAGCTAATTAAAGCAAACTTTTATTGTCCATCTTAAATAAGTCAGTAAGGAGCAGAAGAGCTGAGGTAACGGCGCTGCCCAGAGAGACACACTCCAGTCCCCCGCCGCACACAGACACGGCTGTATCTGAAAACTCGGTCGCCTCCGACAGTATCAAAGCACGAGCCGTCTTGAGACTGATTATGCAGTGAACTCTCTGTTTACCTCCGGGAATGGTAATTGTGGTGATGGGCGAGCTTAGGGCCCCTTACGTGGAATGAATCACAACGTGGTTCTTAGCAGTGGCCAGAACTCCCTCAGCTGGACGGTAAATCTGCGGTGAGCTGGGGACAAAGTGGTGGATTGTCAAATACGCCTCAGTAGCCACCTTATCGTGGTGCTGCAATAATTTGGAAGTTGGGGAAAATGGAGGTAATTCAGACTTTGAACTATTTTGAGGAATAGTTTTCTGGTACTGAGAAGTTTTTACCTCTTTTCTTCCAAGGAGAGGCCGGTCTTTTGTCTCCAGGTCACCGATTCAAATCCCTTTCTGGTCAGTAGTGAGTAGGATGAGCTACCCTGCAACTTGTGTCCAGTGACCCATGTGTCCTGGCAGGCTGGAGCCTGACGGGTAATTCCCCATGCAGGCTGGACACTCACTTTCCTTACCTGACAAAACATGATTAACCAACATAGGAGAAAACAGTGCAATCAGAGAGGTTGTAAATGCAGGCTGTAGAATGCCACTCTGGGCACGAAAGCATGTTGTTTACCATACAGCATTTGTAGTCGGGGTATAAAGTGTAGTATAGTGAAAGCAGTGGCACTATAGTCAAGCATTATATACTGTGCATTACAATTGTATGTAATGTACTGTACTTTTATGTGACTGACAGTACAGGAGGCTTCTTTCCACTCAAGTCACATAAATATGAGAAATCCATTGCATTAGCATACCCAGGATATCACGATGAAACAGCAATTTTACAGTCCCATAATTTTGTGGGCACTCTAGTTTGTATGCAGTCTATCATCTAACCATATTTTTCTAACACTATCTGATTAATAATACCACAGAACATTTTAGCCTGATAAAATTCATGCTGCAGGAGAATTGTGTTAGTACTAAGATCATCAAGCAGGGGACGTGTTGACGGATGACTCTTTGCCAGCCGTAGCCAGCACAGCAAGGGGCTGTGGTCAAGGCAGGAACGCGGACTAGATTATTCAGGAAACACGGTGCCCTCTAAGAACAGGGGTACATTGTTTCATTCCAAATAGACAGTGGCCTTGTGTTTCTTGGCTCTGTAGAATCAAGTAAGTGTTGTTGGAAAACCTCGCACAAGTGTCTCCTCGCATCTTTATTAGTGATTTAACCCTTGAACGATGTCTTTGGCAATCCGCTTGCAGTCATTTGACAAACTACCAGTGACACTTTGTAGTCACACTGTGCCTTAGCTGTGCTTCTCCATCCCAAGTTGCCTTGGACCCCAGTGCAGTCCTTTTGGAACGGTGTTTGGAATACTCAAAAGCTTAGCAGGTTTTCATATTCTTACCTGTAGTTTAACTTTTGGGAATCTGTCCTAAAAATTCTTGTCACTGCTCTTAGATGCTTGTTGGCAAGAATTAAAAGCCCAAATTATGTAGAAATCGTTGAAAACAATTACTCCTAACATTAATCGAAATGCTATGCAACTTTTCACAAATTCTTTTAAAGTGGCTCTCAAGAGGCTAAGGCAGAGGAGGGAGGGAGACTGTGGCTGTGTGTATGCATGGGTGCTTGCATGCGTGTGTGTGCGCGCGCGTGCGTGTGTGTGTGTGCGTGCGTGCGCGTGTGTGTACGCGCGTGCGTGTGTGTGCGCGTACGTGTGTGCGTGTGTATGTGTATGTGTGCGTGTGTGTGCATTAGTGTGTGTATGTGTGCGTGCATGCATTAGTGTGTGCGTGCATGCATGTGTGTGTGTGCGCGTGCGTGCATTAGTGTGTGTGTGTGTGTGTGTGTGTGTGTGTGTGTGTGTGTTTGGGGCCAGTTTGGCTCCTCAGAGAGCTTACAGCAATTGTGGGCTGCATACCAAGCCCAGGCAACAGAAGCAAGCAACTTACAAGGAGAGTGCCCTGTCTAGAAATGGGCTCTGGCTCTTCGATAGGATTGTAACCACAAAAGGGTCTGAGTAATGGAAGGAAATAACTGAATCTGTTCAGTAATACTGTTGATGATACTTGCTAATGCAGTGGGAATAGGGAAGGTTTGTTTTCCTTTGCTTATTTTTATGGATTCCCCGTGTTTATATGGAGTAGTTTGCATCACTTCAAAGGGAAGCAAATGAAATGCCCACTGCCTGCTAGATACGTAGGGGCTCCCAGAAGGAGAAGCTGAAGGCCTCAAAGGGACTCCACCAACTTCTGCCACCAACTTGCCCTTTCTTCTCCACAGGGAGTCATTAACTGAAGGCATTAGGGAAGATCTAACCTCAAAGGCTTTCCTCACTGAATTATTTACTCACCTTTACCCCCTCCGAAGTGCTGTTGTAGAAAAAGAAAAATTAACATCTTTTTTTAAATGTCACACATTTTAATTTCATGATCTTTGCCCTCAAAGTCTGAACTTCTTATATTTTCCCTCTTTTTTCACTGTTCAAAAATCCCATAAATGAGTTTTATAATAAGGATGAAACGCAGAGTGCAACATTCACCCTGTGGGATCTATGTTTGCCAATGATGACACTGATTGGTGGCTGGAATCATTTGTTGTATTATTTGGGAGCTTATTTTAAGACTGCTAACATAATTATTTGGGGTTGCATTTTATAAGCTGGTTTATTGTATTAGTATAAAATGGGAAATACTGACACTCAGAAGTACAGTTTAATGAAAAAAATGCACATTTGATGTTTGGCCTCAAGAATTTCTTGGCATTGGTGTAGGCTATCAGGAGACTGAGGCATAAGGATTGCTGTGAATTTCCTGCCAGTCTGGACAGCATAGTTTCAGGCTAGCCCAGGTCAAGGAGCAAGACCCTTTCAAAAAGGAAAAAAAAATTTCCCTTGGATGATGAAGTGTTTGTTTTGTTTTGTTTAAGTGGGCTTTCCTGTAGTTTTGTGATTGTTGTGCTTTAAGTTGTGCTAGATTCATTTTAAGTGCCTTGAAACACCATGTTCAGAGAACGCTGTGCCTATAGTGACACTCGATGAGTAACTACTTTGGCATGCCTGCTCGTTTTCTCTTACAGGTCTCTAAGCAAGAACAGAAGAAAACGGATGCATTTGATGGAGGCACAGCTGAAACCTCCTCCCGATACAGCGGTGCTCAGGACAGTGGCATCGGCAGTGACAGCGTCAACATCCGAATTGTGCAGATCGAGCCTCGCAGCGGTGCCAGTCAGCACCGCATCGCCCGCCCCTCGCACCAGTCGTCAATCGTGAAAAATCTCAACTTCATTCCTTTCGACATATTTATCACTGCAAGCAGGATCTCGCTGATGACCTACTCCTCTCTGGCTGTACCAAAGTTCAATCTACCGGAAGAGAAGGAAGACGGGAAAACAGGCCGGAACCCCTTAAGCCTCCCAGAGGTCGATTCCGATGTAGCGAAGCCTGCCCAGGCCTGCATCTCCATGGTGACCGCCGAAGATCTCTTCAGCAGTTCTTTTCCTTCAGGGAAGAAACCAAGGGTTCTCTCCCTTGAAAGCCTCCACGCAGCCACGCGGTCATGTGCCAGACAAGCCCTCGGCGTCACTGTCGTTCGGCAGCCTGGCCGGAGGGGAACCGGCGACTTAGAGCTCCACCCGTTTCTGTACCTAGTTGTATCCCAGCCTTCCCTGATTCTGAGTTGTCATCACCGGAAACAGAGAGCGGAAGTGTCCGTCTTCGATGCTGTGCTGAAAGGTGTAGCCCCTGACTACAAATGCACAGGTAAGCGTCTCGCAATGCACTCAGTGATGGAGGAAAAGCAGAGGACCGAGCAGACGTGCATGGCTTCTCTCCTCTGCAGAGTGTGGTCAGTACGTCACCGAGTTAGGGACGGTGTCGGGGGAATGTGCCAGCGTGCGACACCAGCATTCCCACTGTGCCTCTCAGTCTTTCAGTCTTTTCCAAACCCAGGAACCTAATGACACGGGCCCGTCCTTGGCTGTACTTACAATGTCTAGTGTTTGGAGTCATAGCTGTTCTGTTTTTACTGGTAGCAGCCCATAGGTAGGCTACCTGCATTAGTACAGTCGTTTAAAAAAGAAAGAGTAAAAAGCTTGTTTAGTGTTTATCTCACTGCAATTGAATAAATTTCACATGCAATCAAGAAAGATTATCAAAGTGTGGGATACTTTAAAGAAACTTTTATTGAGAAGTGTCGATTAGTTGCAGCCCCTGCCACGCCTTCCTTATAAACAGGAGGCATCTTGTATTATTGCAACCATATAGAGACTAGGAACTTGAGTTGTATGAACATTAAATAATAAGACCCAGTGAAAATGGAGCCATGCAGAGGGTAAGAAACCCTCTTCCTAGAGTTGGAGATTTGGCAGCAAACACTGGAGAGTGAGCCCTACGTCTGTGACCAAGGGAGCACATGACAGTCTGACCTCGAGGGAGCACATGACAGTCTGACATGTTGCTGCCCCACCTCATTGGTGGAGGCCAGCACTGAGACATTTAAAGAGCAGCTCTGACCTGAAAGTCAGGCTGACTAATTCTTCCCATTAAAGGGATGTTCTCTGTTACAAGAAACACAATTTGAAGAAACGAAGGGTTTCTAGCTCATGGTTTGAGGGACACATACCATCAGTCCATCTTGACTGGAACGGCATGGTAGCACAGATACAGGTGACAGTCACACGGTGTTGACAGTCAAAACACAGGCGTTGGGTGCTGGTGTCCCAGGTGCCTCTCCTATTCCAGGTGGGTCTTCCCTTCTCAGTTAAAAGTCTGGACGGTCCTCACAGTCACACCCGAAGGCGGCTCTCCCAGGTGTTCCCAAATCAGCCACATCACACAGCACGTGACTGGAAGACAGGCAGCAAGGTTATGGATGGTGTGGAACCAAAGCCTCTTGCCAGGGCTGCTTCCTGGTGTCTCCTAGAACGCTCTGTCTATGGTATCCAGATGGCAGTCACACTAGGCTTCTAGAGGCCAACCACTCACCTCTAAAGAGCTGCCAACCCACAGGCAGCCTGAATCACCATGCCAAGTGTGAATACCCATGGTTCTTGGTGAATGCTGTCAAACAGGTCTACTGTTGTGAGAACCATCTGTTAACATTAGCTGATGACACTATCTTCCTTCTTCAAACACTCCCATCACTGAAAGCCTGTGATGTATTAGGGACTTCAAGGCACAGGAGGACATCTTGCTATGGCTGTTGTTGGTAGGAACCATCTATATTATCTGAGGACTTCTGCCTACTTAACTAATGCCTCTGTACAACTTTGCTTATCATTGGTTGGGACTTGGTACAGATTACGATAGTAATCTTAATTCCCAGCACCTCCATAACATCATCGAGCTATAGTCTCTCGTGTGGGGCAGGTCTTCAGTTCCTCTGCTAAGAGGTGAGAGGACAGGGGAGAATGGGGGCAGGGATTAGCACATGTGCCAGGAGGAGGCCACAGAAATCACTGGGGCCTTGGGTAGTAGATCAGTGTTCACCATGGTTTATGAATGAGCGTTGGGAGCCCATTCCAAATAGAGGGATGCTCTCTCAGCCTGGACACATGGGGAAGGGCCTAGGTCCTGCCCAGAATGAAATGACAGGCTTTAGAGATCCCCCCCAAGGAGGATCTCACCCTCCCTGGGGAATGATGTGGGGATTGGGTGGGGGGCTGGAAGGGCTGATGGAGGGACAAGGGAGGAGGGGTGGGAAAGGGAGCTGGGACTGACATGTGAAACATTCACATTTCTAATTTAAATAAAAGCATATATTGAGAAAAGAAAGAATAAGGAAAGATTAAGGTATCTCTTTCATGGGTTGGGCATAGGTTGTGGAACCCAATACAGAAGATGAAACTAGAGAGAAGGCCATGGGCCTGTTTGAGCGGAGTGACCTTCTGAAGAAAATTGACTGCATATTGTTCTGTGGGTGCCTTTCTCGGACTTCCACTTAGACCCTTACATGATCCAATAGAGCAATTTTTGATAACCAAGCATGACCAGTATAGTATGTACTTCACATGACATTGTTTCTTAAAAGTTAGTTCAGCACTTTAAAGAAATGTGTTAGAAAACCAAAACTGCAAGTAGTTAAAATACAATTACTTAAAAAAAAAACCTGTAACTGTCACTGAGTACTCTGCCAAGAATTGTTCTGTTTTAATGCATTCTTTTATCTCACCCTAATAATAACGCTGAGGAACGTCATGTCTCATATTACAGACAGAGAAACTAGGGAAGTAAAGTTTAGGGAAGCAATGGCCCAAAGTCCCAGCTGTCGTGGGAAGCAACTACGATTCCAACCCCAGGGTTCATCCACCCTCTGCAGCTGGACTGTCTCCCTCTGGGTGCTCTGAGGAGAGCTGTGAAGCCATTGTCTGCTCAGACTTCCTTCTCCACACAGCTTGTGCAAATGGTTCCCTCTGCAAGTGTTACCTGGTGAATTTGTCTACTAAAGGCACCCAGTGATGTGACTGTATAATGCAGCTGTCTTCACTCCGTGACAAACCTGGCTTCCCATTTGGTGCTATTTATAGGATGCAGAATTGCCTGAGAGGGCAACTGTGGTGAGAAGAAGTAGTTTATGAATAGTTCTGTGGCACTAATGGTAATAATCGCTAGCATTAAGTCTAGTAAGTGGGAGGCCCTAATGAAGGTCTCTTATTACTGCTTTCATCAGTGTCAGGTGGCAGAGAGATGACTAAGCTGGAAAGCAGGAAACTGAACTTGTATCATCACCCCTGTCCTTCGTTGGCAGCTGTCTTATGCAGGCCCTCGATGTCCATCCTTGTGTTGTGTTCCCTTGTCACTAAATGTGAGGATTACAGAAGATGTGAACGAGGACAGTTAATTCCAGGTCTCTAGTTTAGTCACTCTGTAATCCAGACTTCATCTCCCCCCCTTTCCAAGTCTATAATGTATGATTAATCCACAAAGACATTAGGCTAACGTCTGGAGCAACCATCGTGCCAGTTTAATACGACTATTGGCTTTTGAAGACATTAATTTTCTTTGATGCATGAAAAATGCTAATTAGTTTTCTTAGTGTTTTAAATAATTTATATTAAATATTAAATCATTCAGAACTGGACTTTGGAAATTTCTTTTTAATTGTTCCACTTGGATCAACTAATCAACTCCTGTTACTGATTTAGTTATCAAAATAGAGGTTATATAGAACTTCCCCATATCCCTAAGAGAAATCTGTTCCATATACATTGGTCTGTGGAAGTCCTAAGACAGTAACTTTACACATAAGAACAATATGCATGGCTCTTCTGTTACAGTCCTTAGGGTGGGAGCAGGGGAAGTGAGATGGGATTGGCTGGCTCTGTGTTTGAGATCTAAAGTCAAGACTCCTCATTGTCTGTGAGTTGGAATAATAAATTGGATTGTCGATTGAAGCTAACTTTCCAAGAAAGTTTAAGAGGAAAGATCAAAAGCAACAGACATTACAATGAAAGAAGACACAGGTTTTACATAGCTCGTATTTTTGGATATTTAAATGAATAATCTACTAAAGTAATAGGCAAGAGACAGCAAATTCAGCATGTATGTGCATGCTGGTTAGTTTGCAAACTTAGTGCAAACCTAAACATTCCTGGGAAGAGGGACTCTCAGGAGGGGAATTCCTTCCCATTGGAGAGGCCTTTGGGAACGTTTCGTGATTGCTATTTGATATGGGAGGCCCTACCCCACTGGGTGCTTCCATCCGTGAGCAGGTAGGCCTTGGCTAGGTAAGAAAGGTGACTGAAGGGCCAGTCGGGCCTGTAGATTTCTCAGTGGTCTCTGCTTCAGTTCCTGCCCCCAGGCTCCTGCCTTGCACCTGTAAGCATTTTCCTGCCCCCAGGCACTGTAAAGCCTTGTCCTGCCCAGGCTGCTTTTGGTCGTGGCGTTTATCCCAACAAGGGAAAGCAAACTAGAATAACGTGCTTCCCAATGGCTTCATTACATCAACATTTTGAACACACCTTCAGTTGTTAAGGGAATATTGTGTGGGTTTGGAGTGTCTTTTTTGTATTTAGTTAATTTTTAGCTAAAAAAAAATTATTACTAAAACTGACACAGTGTTGCTTGTAATTGCTTGTTGATTTCCGTGAAGGTCATAAGCCATTATGCATGCTGCTCAGGTATATCATATATGTTTATATATCATATATGTATCTTTGTATCCTTTATATGAGGATCCTGTAGAGTAAATGTAAACAAAGAATTTTGTTTTATGCTTTTAAAGGGCCTGCTCTGTTTATAGGATAATATTTTAAGGAGATAAAAATGATTGTTTTATTTAGGAATATGTGTTATTTATTTATTTTTGATCTGACACAAGCTCGGGTTTTCTGGGAAGAGGGAGCCTCAGTTGAGAAAACGCCTCCATCAGATTGGCCTGTAGGTTAGTCCTGGGGCATGGTATTGATGAATGATTGATGAGTGACTGCTTAGCCCACCATGATGCCACCCATGGGCAGAGGAGGGCCTTGGGTTGCACAAGAATGCACTCCAGTGAACAGCATTCCTCCATGGCCTCTGCTTTTCCCTGCCTTGAAGCTGGAAGCTTCCTCAGATTGCTTTTGGTCATGGCCGTTTATCAGAAGAACAGAGAGGCAAAGGGCTACAACTCATGATGTGACATCTAGGTCATTTATTCATTAATTTGTGTTATAGAAAAATCTGGGGAAGAACCCATGCCTGGGACCTAGTCGTCTTAGACAGTGGGATTCTAGAATTCAGACTCTTATCGCATTGAGTGATGTAAACACTCCATCTGATGC